CATTACATTCAATGGTAATTTTAGTTTGAAGGGAACTCTTGAGAGGGTCCTAGAGCCTCAAACTTCCCAAGTCATGAGGTTCATGTTTGGGGGACTGTTTAAAGGAACAGAGAGAGAGAGAGTGAGGGAGGGAGGGAGAGGCGAGCTGACGGTGGCAGGAATGGTGTAGGAAGTGCCAAACAGCTGCCTTTGTCCAGTTCCCTTGGCCTCTCTGTGATGGTTGTCTGGGGCTTGGGTGATCTCTGCATCTCAGGTTCTCTGCTCTGAGATCAGAGGCTGTTAGACCTCACAGGTAAGCTCTCTGGGAGGGGGATGTGCAGCCTATAAAGTAAAGACACACCCCATGACTGCTGATGGTTGGCCCTTTCAACGGATACGGAAATCAGTTGCATTTGGTTTTAGGCTTGGGGCGCAAGAGGCAAAAATTAGGCCTAGAACAGATCATCGTCATCATTGCCTTCATTCTGCTCATCCTTCGAAAAGGAGATTAAGAGCTAAGATTTTCTGTGCACGTACCCTGCACGTGCCAGACACAGCGTGGACCGGTCTATTATCCTCCCCACTTTGTAGATAAGGAAGTGGAGGCGAAGGGAAATCATTTAGCAACCCAGGCCAGGAGCTTGAAGTGGGGTGGCGTGGGGGAGGGGGAGGGCGAGGGAGGGGCTCTGCCTCCGTCCCTTCCCTGAGTGTGAATGCAAGCTCACTGCAGTTTTTGAAACAGTTTCCTTTTCTGTGTTCAAGACTTACCTTTGCGAGGTGCAATTATAACATCACTGTGATGCAACAGCCTGAAAATTAAAACCCTTTGTTCGGGCCCTTTCCCATGTTGAGCAACGTGCCTGACTCACCAGCTGAGTGGATATTTCTAGTTGACCTTGCTTTGGTCCACAGCGTCAGTTCCGAGATGTGAATGTGATTGCAGCATGGAATGGAAAAGGTGCAGTCACACTGCCCAGGCTTTATTTTTACCCGAGTTAAAATCACACATACTTCATTATTTCCATTGTAACCCAGATGGCATTGATGCTGTTAAACGTTGTTTATTTTTTAATGTGTATTAAGGAATGAGAGCACACTTGGGATTCGGTTCAAAATATGACAGAAACAATGTAATTGAGGTTTCCTTTACTATTCATTTCTTGTTTTTGTAAGGTATGCCTGTGTTTCACGGGGTTAACACATTGTTTGATATCCTGTTATTTTTCTGAATTATATTTGAGTTGAGTTTTATCCAGATTGGATTTGTATGAGAATGTCGAAAGACACTGACCTTTGATCACAGACATTACACAAGAGTTTTTCAGTTTCAAAATGAATTTGTATGACCGCCACCCTCAATTATCTCTCAAATTTCATTACAAATAGCTTTCTTGTAGTTAAAAAAAAAATACTGTTTCTTACATGGTTTTAATTAGAGAGCATAAGCTTGTTTTTATGATAAGAAAGTTCAGTAGGGATTTACTAGATGCCTTTCATAATAATCTGCTTTGAGGGCTCCGTTTTATTGGAAGCAGAATGATGTTTATAAGCCTTTTAGCTATCAGAACATGGTGTCTTTTATTAATTAACTTTCTAGGGATCTTAAACTGGAATTAAGTAGCCTTCAAATAAACACTAAAAATAAACATTTAAAATAATCTGTTCTATTCATAAGGCACGTAGTAGAGTAAGTGACATTTGTAATCGTCTGTGCACTGGGAAGGAACGTGAACAAGAAATTAAGAAGTCAAACTGAGGGAAACCGGAATGTGATTCTTCAGTATAATTGGGAACATTCAGAAACTTGCCCTTCTGTACCCTTTCCCCACCCAGCCCCTGCACTCACCCCATTTTTACTTGTCATCATTACTCCCATGTTGCATGTATCCTGGCATTTCTTAGCAGATGCAGAATGTCCTATAACTGGGTTATTTCATGATTACTGGTGTCACTTAAGATTTCAGATAGTTGCTAGACTGATAAATTATCTTTTTGAAACTTCAGGAAAATTAATGTTCCTCATTTCGAAGTGACTGCGGTTTTGTTTCTGTTTTTTTTTTAATGCATTAGTATTTTACCCCCCCCCACCCTCCCCCTCTCTCAAGCCGTGGATTTGTTTGGACACGTTAGCATCTGTGCTCAGACCACGCAGTCTTCAGGATATTTTCATCCTGAGTTAGGTTACAAACAGTGGCCTCTTTTTATGAATGTAAAGTTGTACTATTTCATATTTCAATTCCTTAAATTATATTGATGCTGTAATGAAATGCAGTGTTGTTATCCTATTTATTAAGTTTAAATCTAATTTTCAGGTAGTTCTTTGTTGAAGATAAAACAGCAAGAAATTAGAAATATTTGCTTTTATCATAAGCTCGCTCTGGTTTTGACACATTCATTTACAGAGCCATCCGAATAGAAAAAGTAGGTCACTTTGTTGCCATGATAGGGTAGATTTTGGCAAAGTGTGAGAGTCCACTTATGTGTGTGTTCATATCTTGATCAAGTATACATTTTTCTCTGACTTTAAGTTTAAAGTCTGTGTTGCTAGAGACAGAATTATATTATTAATGGGAGGCGCTTCATTGGCCCTTAGAGAAGTTTAACATAGTTGTCTTAATTTAAAAAGCCTTTTATTCTTCAGCCTAATTAGAAAATCCTTGTGCAACTTCAGCATTTCCTGAATTTTTTCATTCCCCACTTCCCCGTAGATTTGATTTTTATTCATGAAAAGAAAGCATTTTACTGAAACGATCATGTCATGGATTTTACCCACAGGAGGAAAATGTAGGTTAACATTTCACTAGTATTACTAGTTTAAAGAGCTATGAATTGATCCAGTGACTTTATTTTTTCACTAAAATGGTGTTTATCTCAAAAATAAGCAACTACCTTCTTAGTAGAGAGGTGGTTTGTAGTTGAACATAAAAGAACTTTTTTTTTCTTTAATGGTATCTATACTATACCTCTGAGGGTATAAAGAATACATTCAGAGAGTAGAGGAAAAATGAGGTGGTTCTATAAAAATATTTCCAAATCATGCGGCTCATCAAATAGTATCTCATCTTGTATTGACAGTTTTAAAATCAAAACGTGTAACAGAAGCAATTTGCAGTAAGACTTCCCCCTTAAAGAGATAATTAGTAACAGAGTTTTCTCATGGTGGATTTTAATGTCTAAACTATTAGTAAGATTTTAGATGCTTGAAACAAAATGTTTCTTTTTGTTCTGTAACAAGTTTGGATTGTCAACCAATAGTTCTCTGAGAGATGCACTGGAGGCCAGGGAAGATATAGGTCAAACATAAGGAATGAGATTCCTCCTCGAGGAGAAATTTGGTCTAGAATTTGTGTTGGAACTCTTTATTCTTTAAGAGAATTTTCTAAACCAAATTTTAATCTTAATTTAAAATAACATTTAGGTCATCTGACTTAAATAGACCTTAAAATCGGGGCTTGCGAAACCTAACTCCTGTAGAAATAGCGTGATGTACTATGAAAAAGCGTCAATTAGCAACGGCACGTCCGCGTTAGGTATGGGAAAATAATGTCATTGGAATGTGATGACTCCTGCTCTTAAATTTCTCTTTTTATTTGTGTTTTTAAGCAGCAGCCATATTATCTAATGGGTGTAATGAAGCTGATCGTGCTGGACACGCCAGCATCATAGAATTGGCATTTAGTGTCAATTACTCACCAGAAGGGAAACTAGTGTTGACTGATGTAACGCAGCGTTAGTGGTGATCTGAGAGCAGGAGGCAGAGGTGAACTGACTGTTAAATTAATCATAAGGGGAAAACATCAGAATCTGAAATGAAGTCATTAGTTGAGCATAAATACTGATGTTTTCAGAAGACGTTGTAAACTAGCTTTGCGTTTGCTTTCATTTAAATTGATGGTTGAAGGGCACAAATAGATTCGTTGCCCCCAGCATCTCTGCCCTCACGTGCTGCGTGATCCTGGCAAAGTCACTCAGCCTTTCTGGGTTTGAACTGCTCACCACACCCCGTGTTGAAAATGGATACATTTTGCTTTTGTACTAGAAAAATCACAGGTGACAATGCCAATAGCTAGCACTTTTCTTTTCCTCTGTTTATTTTAGCACATAGGACTGCTAGGAGATTAAAATTTTAGCAAAGAGATGAAAATGTAGAATGTTTTCTCAATTTATTAAATACTTTCAGGATGTAGAACATCTCCAAGGAAGCTGGAGAGAAGTCCCAGGTGGCACCTTTGTCGTCTTAAGGAAGTTCTGGCGGCATCTAAGAGTGCTTTACTGCCCCCAGCGTAACTTAGGAAATGAGTATAAATGACTCAGAAATGAGAGCAACACAGAAAGGAACTGAATGTAATTGAGATGCACTGCAGAAGTCCCCACCAGAACAGCCCCCTGCAAGTACAGAAGAGGAAACCGGACCGTGAGAGGGACTGGAATGCATTCAGAGCTGGGCTGGAATCAGCTCTGCCACTTAACTGGCTGTGTGACGCTGGGCAAGTTGCTTAACTTCTCTGAGCCTTAGTTTTCTCGTTTGAATGTGGTTATTATCATGAGGGTAGTGAAATTATGACACGCCAGGCTCACCGTGCTTCTTGCGTACTAAGTGTTCAGCAAATGGTCATCACTGTTTTTATTTTCACCCTCCCAAGAGAAAAAGCAGTGCAGGCTGGAAACGATGTGATCTGTGCACCAACCCCCGGCCCAACGTGGGCGGCGCTCCTTGCGCATCCCTGGCTCACAAGTCTGTCTCCCCCCCGGAATAAGGGGATCCCTTGACTCTTGGGACTTGGATTTATGTGCCCCCAGTCTTCCTCAGTGCCAGGTATGCAGTAGGTGTTGAATAAATCAAGCAAAGAGTAAGAGAAGCTCTCTGTCAATAAGCAAAGTATCTTTTTTAGGATTTCCACCGTGAGACTAAATTGAAAAGAATGTATCAGAAAAGTGGTTTTGGTTACAAAACTCTCTTATGTGTGGCAAATGAGTGACTGTCAATCAGACGTTGAGCACCTAATATGTTCAGTTTGTTGCCAGGATACAAATATATTCATTTGCGCCTGTAAGGCATTTGCAGTCTAGTTGGGTGTATAAAACAAACGGAGGAGGATACACGTGGTCCAGAATCAGCACCTCTCTGCATTATCTCACACCGTGATAAACTTCTTTCAACTCTGTAAGGTTATTTGATAAATAATATTACCGAAAATATCCTAATACACTATGTGGTGATTTGCTGATAGGGGTCATAGAGACAGTTAATGTGTGCAGGTGAGGGAAGAATCTAGATTCTGGGACACAGAGTGAAGTTCCAATAGGGAGAAGACTAACGGAAAAGAAATGAGATTTTCCTACAGGTTTTAAACATGCCAACAAAGTTGTGGAGATGACAAAGTGGGTACATGGGACTTAGACACCAAGAAGAAAGGAGCCACGAGATTTTTTTAACATTTTTTATTGATTTGTAATCATTTTACAATGTTGTGTCAAATTCCAGTGTAGAGCACAATTTTTCCGTTATGCATGAACATATATATTTTCATTGTCACATTTGAGATTTTAAGACAAGTGAGATTTTTAAACTTAAATAGAGGTGGGATCATTTTCCTCCAGGCAGCGTGACGAGGGCTGTCTACCCTCACTCACACCAGACCCCGCGCACATCTTTGGACCAGGAGGCTGAAGAGAGTCCCCACTCACTCCATGCATGTGATGAAAACGGGTATGATATGATGACATAATGAAAAGTTTAGGGAGAGTGGCAAAGGCAGACAGCACGGTGGGGCATTTCAAAAGCGTCATGGGAAAAACTCGTAAGTGAGGTGAAATGTAGAAGGAATGTAATTTTTTTCCAGGGAAGGGACAAATTAAAAAATGCAAAGAAGAGAAAGGTTCTCAAGTGGCAAAATTCTCAGAATAATAGCGTACAGGAAACTCCATGATGCTTTGAAAAACAGAGGTCCCTGAGGATACAGTGGAGATTTGAAGGGCACTTTGGGAAAACAGTTCAATGTAATAGTCCTTCTTTAGCTGGAATTTTTACCCTTTGCCTCAACATTTATTTGACTTAAAGGGGGAAGCACTTAACTGCATTAGGGAATACCCATTTTTTTTTTTGATAGACTTTATTCTTTTAGAGCTGTTTCAGGTTCACAACAGAATTGAGCAGAAAATACAGAGAGTTCACAAGTAGCCCTCCCCACCCACACATGTATCCTCCCCTCTCAGCATCGCTCATCAGTGGGGCGTATTTGGTACCATCGCTGACCCAACGTGGGCACGTTATTATCAACCAAAGTCCATAGTTTTCATGAGGGTTCCCTCTTGATGTTGTACATTCTGTGGAGGGACTACCCATTCTTAACAGGAGGAAAGAATCCATTCAGTATGCAGAGGGCAAATGAGTTTTCATGTCAGAACAAGAAAGCTGAGTGGAAATAGAGGAGGCTGTGTTGATGTACTAAGTGATAACCAGAAAGACCTCCTTTCTACACCATCACCGCCTGCTCTGGCAGACTCTTTGCCTTCACTTCTCATTAAAGCTGTATTATCAAAAACAAACAGGAGCAGGGTGTTTGTAATCACAAGTTTTCCCGAGTTGCAACTCACTGTTTCCGTTGGCTCAGTTGGATGGATACAAACGTGGCATTAAACCTGAGTCTTTGTGATCCTGGAACTGTTACGTCATTCCTTCTGCTCCTTCTGGAAAAGACACAAGAGGCTGGCAGGCTTTTCCAGCTGATAAAATTAAACTTCATTTCATTAGTCATTGTAGAACTATGCACAAGGAAGGCAGAGTGACATGAAGCAAAAACATTCCGTCTTTTTAATGGGGCAGGGCAGAGTGCTGAATGAGCAGATGTCTTGCCATATCTCCTTTATGGACGTTTTCCCTGCTGGGAAATTAGGCAGGGAAGCCCTGTCCAGAAACACAGATCCAGAACCACCATGAGGGGATTGTTATTGGAACCTAATATGGATTTATTATCTCGTGTCAGGCCAAATGCAGATTAGAACCGTGTCATCAGTGGAAAAGGAAGCTATTTGGTTCTATTTTTGAGTTCTTATATTTTGTTTGAAACTAATTCATAAAACGGAAAGAAATTCTTTCCATAATTAGATTCTCTCGGTTTAAAATAATTTTAGGTTCTCTCAGTTTAAAATAAATTTACATTTCAAGAATGCACTCTACTTTAAAAAAAAATCCCTTTAAATAGTAACTGTTTATTTTGGTACAAAGCTATTAGATACATGAAATCTATTTTGACAGAATTTTCAGGACCAAAAAAAAGCACTTTGAATGCTTCCATCTTAAGTGAATGCTTGGTAAGTCAATTTGAAGGAATCAGAAGGAGGAACATTTCTAACCTCATAGCGCAAATACGTCAGAGAGATGGCTTTATTGAGAGGAACCCTCTCCAGGTGTGCTGAGTCTCTTGGCAGAGTGACCTTGACATAAGCCCACCGGGGGTTTGAGGGACAGGATTTGCCCACATAAGAGTCCAGTTAAAAAGCTGCAACTCTGTTGTTTGTGTGGCTTTTATTTTCATTTTTGTGGAAATAAAAACTTAGCCCCGCTTATGTTTTATTCCATGCAGTTACAAAATTTGTTTACTGACATTAAAGGAGTTTACTTGGAGAAGTTCCTTTTTACGAGGTGAGCTTGTTTGCTTGGCAGCGATAGAAATGCGACCGAAAATTATCCAGAAGCTCCCAGTCTGCAAGCACTTACCAGCCAGCGGGGATCTGTCATCTCCTTCCTGTCATGCCCTGTCCCTCGTCCCCCTCCCCACCGTGTCTTCTCCCGAAACACAGCCTTCCTCAGTTTCTCCCCGGGGCAGGTGTGTGTTTTTCTCTCACTGCCCTGGACCACGCGTTCCTCTGCCAATACAACAGCTCGCGCTGGGGGTTTGTCCCTCACGACTCTCCAGTGCAGGGATTTGCTTTCTTCCCTTCTTCCTTTCTTTTCTTTTCTTTCTTTCTTTCTTTTTCTTTCCTTCCTTCCTTCTTTTCTTTCCTTCCTTCTTCCTTCCTTCCTTCCTTTCTTTCTTTCTTTCATTGAGTTATAGTCATTTTACAATGTTGTGTCAATTGGTTGCTTACTTTCAAGATTGTAAACTCTTCGAAGGAAAAACACTGCACCTTGTTCAGACCCATGTACCCTAAGTGCTGAGTGCCATTTCTTGTACAGAACGGGCAATAAACACTTACCAAGTAACTGTTTCTTTTCATGTCTTGCAGGTCACCTACAAGACCGCCTGCTCCGTTCAGCTAAGAGGAGCTGAAGAGACTGAGTCTGGACAGTAGAACAAAAGGAAGAATATTGATGGATGTTAAACCACGGGTTTTAAAGCGTTTGAGAGGCCTGGGGAAGTAACTTGCTCCCCTGCCCCGCGTAGGTAGGTGAAGGCTGTTTCTGATGCAGCTGAGAAAAATGCAGAGCATCAAGAAGGAGCAGGCGGCCCACGATCCCGGGAGCGCCGTGGACAAGATGATGGTGCTGAACTCTGCCTTGACTGAAGTCTCCGAAGACTTGGCGCCCGAAGACCTACTGCTAAATGAAGGAAGCGTGGGGAAAAGCAAATCTTCGGCGTGCCGGAGGAAACGGGAATTCATCCCCGACGAGAAGAAGGACGCCATGTACTGGGAGAAGCGGCGGAAGAACAACGAGGCGGCCAAGAGGTCTCGTGAGAAGCGTCGGCTGAACGACCTGGTTTTAGAGAACAAGCTGATTGCACTGGGGGAGGAAAACGCCACTCTGAAAGCCGAACTGCTTTCCCTGAAGCTGAAGTTTGGTTTGATTAGCTCGGCAGCCTACGCCCAGGAGATTCAGAAGCTGAGCAGCTCGACGGCCGTGTACTTTCAAGACTACCAGACGTCCAAGGGCAGCGTGGGCGCCTTCGTGGACGAGCACGAGCCCTCGATGGTGGCCAGCAGCTGCATTTCGGTCATCAAGCACTCTCCGCAGAGCTCTCTGTCTGACGCCTCCGAAGTGCTCTCGCTGGAGCACTCGCAGGAGGGCCCCGGGCAGAGCGGCTGCAGAAGTCCTGAGAGCAAGTTCCAGGTCATCAAGCAGGAGCCCATGGAACTGGAGAGCTTCGCCAGGGAGCCGAGAGACGAGCGGGGTGCCTACCGGGCAGCGCTGTATCAGGCCTACATGGGGGGGTCGTTTCCCGGCTACGCGCACTCCCCGCCGCTGCTGCAGGCCAGCCGGTCCTCCAGCAACTCTCCGAGGACGTCGGAGACTGAGGACGGGGCCGTGGGAAAGTCGTCCGACGGCGAAGACGAGCAGCAGGTCCCCAAGGGCCCGATCCACTCCCCCGTGGAACTTCAGCGCGCCCATGCCACCGTGGTTAAGGTCCCCGAAGTGAATTCCTCTGCCCTGCCGCACAAGCTTCGCATTAAAGCCAAAGCCATGCAGATAAAAGTGGAAGCCCTGGAGAACGAGTTTGACGCCGCGCCCAAGCTTCCCTCGCCCCTTGACATGACGTCCAAGAGACACTTCGAACTCGAGAAGCATCCTGCCCCCACCCTGGTCCCTTCCTCCCTCACTCCCTTTTCAGTGCAAGTGACGAACATTCAAGACTGGTCCCTCAAAGCCGAACACTGGCATCAAAAAGACCTGAACGGCAAAAGCCAGGGCGGTTTCAAAACTGGCGTTGTTGAAGTGAAAGACACTGGGTACGAAGTTTCGGACCCAGAGAACTTGTTTTTGAAGCAGGGGATCGCACACTTGCCGGCAGAGGTGGTCTCACTCAAGAGACTGATCGCCACGCACCAGATCTCTGCTTCGGACTCCGGGTGAAGTTACTACTGACCCAGCTCTGGGCGTCTCGCTGTCTTTGGCAATAGATGAGTATGTTTTGTATTAGGCTGAGTTTTCACTGGACCTGTGTCATTTCACTGTAACGTTCACACGTTGTCTGTCGGGTGTCTTTTTGTGCACAAATTACTATGAAGATTAGATTGTGTCATCACTCTGCCTTGGGTGTAGTCACAGAGTCCATTGCAAAGGCTGTATATATGGGACATTATTTTTGTTGTTTTCCCATAAAGTGTGTAAGTTACCAGTTTCAATAAAGGATTGGTGACAAACACAGAACTTCTGCTCCATGGCACTTAATTTTATGGGAAAGTAATTTAAGTTACAAAAATAGATACTAAGATGCTCTGATTTTACTTATTTGGGTGAGTTTTTTCTTCCCATCAGTAAGGGAAAAGCAGAACATATGGTCAACACGTAATTTTTTTTTCTTTTCTCTACTTTGGCCCAGGCTATGATAAGTTTGAAAATCTTCCAGCGGGGAGGGGACAGGGGTGGTGGGGAGTGAATTTGCTTGCATCTGAGACTAATTTACGAATCTACTCCCCATTATCTATCTTCCTTTAAGGTTGCGTTTTCTCTTTTTTTTTTTTTAAGTTGAAAAATCTAACTTGTTTAGCATCAGCTTCCCTTTAGTCATCTCTCTCTTAAGTATGATGCATGAATGCGGAAAGTTGAGTCACTGACCCACTTTATTAATTAGAGGTTCTTTTTAAAAGGGTGAATAACAGAGTAAGGATGAAGTCATTTTTATGTTACTGTAAATCTTAACAGTTCTAGAGTGTAGCAGTCCAGGGAGTTAGCTAGTGAAACACTGTTTTTATTTAGTTCCCCAAATTTCAAAGAACACATCAGTGATCACCTACCATATACAGTCTGGGTGTATGTAGTGGCTTGGTTTGTTGTTTTCTTTCTTTCTTTCTTTCTTTCTTTCTTTCCTTTCTTTCCTTTCTTTCCTTTCTTTCTTTTCTTTCTTCATTAATGATGAATATAATAGCTCCAAGTTTGGAAACTCTTCATGATCCAGAAGCCCGGAAGGAAGCATCATTCTAAGTAAACTGATGACTTGACTGTTATTGACAATTTGTCCGGGACCCTCAGTTGCCCCATAGCAGTAAAAGTCTCCAAACGCGGACCGGGCGGGACCAGCTTCTGGGCGGGGTGCAGGGCCTGGGTCAAGGTCGGGCCAGCACAGCTGTCTCCATGGCGGTTTTCCTCGCCCAAGCCCTCTCCAGAACTGCCTTTTTCCACACTGACCTCTTTTTCATCCTAGAGTTGGGGGCGGGGGCTGGACCTCAGGCTTCATAAAACATGTGGCGGGTGAGGTAACCCTCGCTCTGTTCCCCGTGTCTCGTGGTGGAACCTGGGAAGAGCCCTGCCCTAACGTCCCGCCTCAGGGCTCCCTCATCTTTTTCACGGCCTGGTTTGAATAAAGCCTGATTTTCAAGCTCTTAAACCTCCTGCCCTTTTCTATTTCACAAAGTGATCCTTTGAATTAAAGGGGATGCGGGAACATACGCACATGCCATCCACCTTGTCCCTTTGGACACCGCGACCCGTTCTCTCTCTGAAATCTCCTGCCTCTTGGAGAAGTGCGTTGCCCACTTGGCCCCTGGCCTGCTGGCTTCAGTAACTGCCCGTTTCCGGGTGGGGCCCAGAGGCAAACCCATCTCACTTGGGAATGCCGCAAAGTGGAGGAGGGCGAAGATGTTGGATGGCAAGTTAGGATCCAGAAGGGTGTCACACCCTAGAATGGACGCAACGACTCTAACAACATGAATAAGAAGAGGGTTATGAGGTGCAGTAAAGTTTCTGTGTCAAGCGGGAAAACAGAAGGCTGTCCAAGTTCACGACTGGGGAAAAACAAAATAAAAAAAAGCAGAAATAACTACATCTGGAGGGAAAAAGCTTTGGTTCCAAAATAAAAAAAACCAGAAATAACTACATCTGGAGGGAAAAAGTTCACTGTGAATCAACACCCAGTGGATTGCTGGGTTGAGTCCAGACACGGAGACAACCATCCGTGGTCCCCGGGCGCACGCGCGTGTGCCGAGGGATGCGGCTGTGAACCTGCCAGAGGAACCCGTCAGGGATGGGAGGTTTCGCAGCCATGAAATAGGAGAACTATATTAAGAAAATGGTTGATACGTTGTCCCCAGAACGGCCAAACTTTGTCCTGTGTGGTACTTACTGTAAAGGTGCAAGTAGATGACAACAAAAAAGGGAAACCTGGAGTTTTCAGGAAGAACTATGCACCTGTCAGAGCCGGGGGAAGGTCCCCCTCCCGAGGCCACGGTTCCTCCCCTGTGAGTTGTAATGTTAGCTATCGTGGTGAGTATGTCACATCTGGATGCCCTCTTCCTTGGTCATTTTGTCATAATTCCAAGGATCTAAGATAGAGCCAGGATGATATTTAACATGTTATCCCTTAGGGTGTGGGGGGTGTAGCTCAGTGGCAGAACTCATGCTTGGCTTCAGTCCCCAGTGCCTCTGTGAAAGAGGGGGAAAGAAAAGAAAGAAAGAGGGGGAAAGAGAGGAAGAGACAGAAAGAAAGGAAGGAAGGAAGAAAGAAAGAAAGCAGGGAAGGAAGGAAGGAAGAAAAAAGAATTTTAAATGTTGCTCCTTAAAAAGAAAGGGCGATACAAACAATTCCAAACTCGCCAGGAACTGAAGAAAGGTAAGTTACACTGTGACACTTCTGTCTCACGATGTCAACTGGGGAAGAGCTACCGCCTCTCCCTCCCACTCACAAGGCTCCAAAAAGTGATATAAAATGTGTTTAAAGCCAAGCAAATCTTTAATTGTATTCAACAAATAAGAAATGGGAGCCTCCGAGCACTGAAGTTCATAAGAATTCCCGGCAAGGTGGCTGTCAGGTGGGCAGGAAGCTGTAGCCGGGAAAACACGGAGACCCCGTGTCGGCCCCCGTGCACGAGCGGAGGGAGGGGAGCCTGAACCGCCAGCTGTGGGGCTGATGGGGACACTGGCCCCAGAAACAGCTGAATGTCCCCTCCACCTGCCCAGGACGAGGCGAGCGGGAGCAGGGAGTGTGGAGGGGCGGATTCAGAGAGCCAGGCGGTGTCACTGTGCCCACTTCGTAAAGGAGGGTACGGAGACCCTGAGAGATCGGCTTGCCGAACACTGCAGCCAGAACCCAGGCCCCACGGCACCAGACAGGGCTGGCCAGCCCAGTGTCGTCTGGCCCGTGAGCTTTTCCCCTGGTACGACTGAGGGAGACGAGACTAGGGAGCCTGTCTTATCTGCAGGAGAGAAGGGGGGACCTTAGGAGGCGTCCACGTTGTAAGTGCCTTTTCTCTGCAAATTAGTCCAAGTGCTATTTAAGTATCCACTTTTCTATGGCATAGTAATTGTGTAATAACTCTATTTTTTCATCTTTGCCAAGAGGCAAATATTCCCACATAAAAACAGCTAACATCTGGGTAGGTCTTCCAGTTCAAGTGGAAGGTCACACACATTAGCTCTTCTGAAGTCCAACCGCTCGTACGCGGGCACCTTGTTGTCATAGAGACATTGTTAATTGAAGAAATTTTTAAAACTCATGTTAGATTTATTTTTTTTTAAATGTAGCTGTTGAACTCATTTTCAAAAACTAAAAATTTTCATAAATGAGAAACATTGGCAGTGCCCATTTGGGTGTGTGCGTGTGCGTGTGCGTGCGTGTGCATGTGTGCGTGTGTGTGTTGTGGGGCAGGGATTGGGATTGTGTACGAAGTGGTGCAACCATCGAGGTGACATTGTACAGTGTCCACAGACTACTTGCACCAGAAAAACTGAAATAAGAAAAACTTGCCCAGGATGTGAAATTGTGGGATACTCAAGATTCCAGTGAATCTGTTTCTGCTTTGCAAAGCAGTTCATTTGTGTCTTTTTTTAGATTCCACATATAAGTGATATCATATGGTATTTTC